TTGTCCTTCACAGCAAAGAAAGTAGAGTGAAATTCAAAGTACACATGGTTATCAAAACAAAATTTTTGAACATAAAGTAAGTTCTGTTTTATGTCAGGTACGTGTAGTATGTCTTTAAAGGAAAATGTTTTGTTTGGTGAATGAAGTTGTGAGGAACCAATGTGTAGAATGGGTAAACCCTTACCATTGCCAACGTGAAGGTTGTCCTCACCGTAGTAGGCCTCAGAGTTATCGAAGCTAGATAGGTCCGGTGCAACATGATGGCTAGAGCCTGTATCCGGAAGCCAAGCTTGTGACTGGTAATTTGTAACGTTGGCAGAAGGTAGTTGTCTCGTCCTCATAGGAGCAGGGTCTCAATGAGACGGGATATGACCAATCCCACACCTATTGCATGTGCCCAAAACAGTGTTCTGATTAGAAGCCCAACTAAATTGATTACGGTTACCTCCTCTTTGACTTCTGTTGTTGTAGTTTCCTCGTCCGCGTCTAGAATCACGTCCACGGCCATGGTTATTCCCAGATCTGTTGGTGTAAAAGGCATGTGCAGGCTGTGCATTAACAAGCTGAACTTGAAGACCAAGTTGTGACAGAAGCTGTTGAATAGCTTGAAGTTGATCCGGTTGAGGAGTAGACGAGGTGGCACCAGGAACCGCTGAGTTGCGGTTGTTCGTGACAGTCGAGAATGCTTGAGGCGGAGAGATGTCAGTTGCAGATTTCTTGATCATGTAGTCATGGTCTGATAGCAGGCCATGAAGTTTTGCAAAGGCAGTTGGGAATTGGCGACCAAGGAGTGTTGACTTCAGCCCGTTGTATTCTTGTCTAAGACCCGAGATAACCAACATCACCAAATCTTTTTCTTTCATTGGTTCGCCTATATTGGCGAGAGCATCAGCATATTCTTGAGCCCTGGTCAGGTATGCGGAGGAGGTTTCAGCAGGCTTCATCTCTAGTTTAAGAAGCTGAGTTTTTAGGGTGTATTCCCTAGATGATGTGTGAGGAGCGTAAGCATGTTCAAGAGACAGCCAAAGATCACGGGAGGTAAGTCCTTGAACGTGTTGGAACGACGCCTCAGAGATTGTAGAAATAATCAGCATCCGTACATGAGCATCATTGGAAACCCATGCTGTGTAGTTAGGATTCGGTTGTGGTGGGGGCACTGTGGTGCTGTCGGCATCTTTTCCAGATGATGATGATTTTCCAGATGATGATGATGATGAGATAGTCATCGGTGGACAAGGAGTGGTGCCATCAACATAGCCGAACAAGTTGTTTGTGACAAGGAACGGTTGAACCATTGTCTTCAATAGCAATAGTTGTTTGGTGATAAAGTGAAGCCAAACTTGTGGGAGTTATGGGTGGTTTTCTCGGTTGGAGTGAAAGCTGCAACAGTTGTCATTGGACAGAAGGTGAGGCAGCCGTAGTGTAGAAGACGGGTGCGGTAGCTTTAGGGTTGCCTTGTGATGGCAGCGGTAGGGCAGCAGCCGTAGGGCAGCAGCTGTAGGGCGTTTAGGGCCGGCTGCGGTAGGGCGGCAGCGGTAGGGCAGCAGCTGTAGGGCCTTTAGGGCCGGCTGGGCAGCAGCTGTAGGGCGTTTAGGGCCGGCTGCGGTAGGGCGGCAGCGGTAGGGCAGCAGCCGTAGGGCGTTTAGGGCCGGCTCTGATACCAAGATAAACTTGGTAATTGTGTGTGTATACCGATTACAATCAGGGATATATATAAGAGATACATTTACACTCTAGACCCTCTAATATAATTATATATATATATATATAATTATATATCACACTTAATTGTCTAATAGCCACAACTACCTCCTCCACAATCGCCACCACCACCACCATTATCCACCATCTTCACGTCCTCCACAACCACCGTCATCCACCAACCACCATTGCCTTTACCTCTACAACCATTGTTGCTGCAACAATCTTCACCATGCCTTCGCCAATTGATAAGGATCTTCTAAACCGAATAAAACATAGTTTTTCCTATTTGCGAATCAGGTTTTTTCGAACTACCATCAATTATATCAAAATTTTCATTCAAATTTGGTACTATTATATATTTTTTTATATGAAAATTGTGTAAAAATGTTCATAAATTAAATTATTTAAATATTTACTTTATTTGTGTTATTTATAACTATTATATGATATATAAAATCAACGAATAACTTTAGGGGAAACTTGTCTAGTTCTGTCCTATCCAATCCTAGTCGTACCAAACACCAGACAGACACACTTGTCCCGTCATATATATATATATATATATCAATAAATAGATTTTCTGAGCATTTTGTCGATGCTCTCCTGTTTTGTCCAGTTCTGCTCTCTTGTCTTGTCCAGTCATATCCAGTTTTGTCCGGTCCACTCATGCAGTAGACCGGCTGTAAATGAGGTGGACAAGATCACAAAACATCCACCGTACTTTTGCCAAAAAGGCCCTCGGTTCCTGCAGCCCATGCTGTAGTATGCTTCCAACACGCCTTTCCAAAACCTTGACTTTTAACCCAAAAGTCACCAAACTAGATTGTTTCTATTTCCAACCTCCATAAACAAGAAAGATATAAAATAATAACAGAAAAGACTCAAGTAATCCATTTAAGGATGTAAAACACAAGAGAAAAGTGGGAAAATTATATTATATTATCAATATAAATAATACCCGTCACATATATGGCAGTGACGTTATGGGCATAGTTCTAAAACTAGTGATGACTTGCAGGCATGCTACAATTTGCATAATCTATTACACCAAAATGCTTGATGATACTAAAATCACCAACATGAGTGATGCATGGATAATAACATCAAAAAAGAAAATCTTACAAACTGCATTGGCTGGTTGAAAAGTTTCTAACATATTCCACCGGAAGAACCTGCAATCTCTTACTATTGGTCAATCACATACATTTCACCGAATTATTGTCGCACTCACATTCTTCTTCACAACACGTACAATATGTTCTCCAAAAACTAATCAGCGATTCCTTCAGGTATTCTATGAGAAGATTTTTTCTAATGTTAGATTACTATAGGATCATAGCTAAACTTTTGGGTGTGGATGTGTGGCACATATTTTTTTTTATGAATGAGCTAAAAAAGATGTCAATTGTGATAGAAAATAAGTAGAATGTGATGACTTTCTGCCACTTTCACGAGTCTAAATTGCATTGCTTCATCTTATCAGATCTCTCTTTCCATTGTCAGGACATTTACTCAAGTCAGTATTCAGTGGCAAGACACGGATTCAATGAGAGAGGAGTTGGATGATTTACAGGTATTCATGTTTATGTGATGTCATCATTCAACAGTCAAGGGATATGATAAACCGATTTAGGTCACTTTCATGTTTATGGAGTTGCTTGCAGATTTTCTTGAGCACAAGGTGGGCTATTTTGTTGAACTTGCATGTTGAGATGTTTCGGGTGAACAAGTATCCTATCAATGCTATATTATTATTGCACCAACCATGTGTTTATGTGGGAGCCCCTCTAGCAAGCTGTTGTTGTGGGTAGCTCTCAGATACAGTCACAATATATATATATATATATATATGTGTGTGTGTGTGTGTGTGTGTGTACATTAGATGTGGTACCATCTAAGAATGTGTGCTGTTTTAAAATAAAGAAGAAAATTTGATTAACTACATTTAATAATTAATAAGCAAGCCTATTTAGATGGCACATGAAGCTCTTTTGGTCTTTTGTTGAGTGTTAAATGTTAAACTATTTTTTATTTAAGCATCATCTTGTTTTCATTTTAGTGCACATTTTCTTCTATTAATCTTACCTTCATTGGTTAGATAGAGTTTATCTAGACTTCTGCATGATTTTTCTCTATAAGATCTTTCAACATTGATTTTAATTGTGTTGTCTATAGGCAATTGATGTCTTCTTTTTGGTCTTTGTATGTAGGAGCTCTCCCCAAGATCTCTAGAAACATTGCTAATTATTTTGATCTTAGTTTGCTAGAACCTAGTACATGATCTACAAGGGGTTATGATTTTTCTGAAGTTAAACTAATTTAAGTTGGGCAAAACAGATGAAAGGATCACAGAACTTGATGGTTTGTTTAACTTACCTGAGTGCCTCAACAAAAAGATAAATGGATAACATACTTAAGTTGTTGCAACCCTATCAATCACCTCATTCTATCATCAAGATTGGGGGTGCTTAATCAACCAATAAATTTGATGGCTAATTGGCCATTGTTAATTAAAGGGTATTATCATCAACTATTGGGCACATAGATTTGTGAGATCCCATATTAATTGGATGGAAATTAAAATCTATTATTGATAAATCTTGTTTGTTGGGCCATGCAAGTGGAAAAACCAATAAAATTTGATGAGCACTTCACTACTTTCCCATTCAAGTTGCTATTATCATTTCTAAATTGGAGGTTTGTACTTTATACTGTTTATACTTGCATAGTTATTAGATGCTGGATTTTTACACATGTGTACACTTATAATTCAACAGAATTACATATTCTTAGTGTATCATGCTTGCTCCAGATCGAGGCTGAAAACCAAGGCTTTATCAGAACCTATTAGTTTAGGTTTACTGATACATTTTTGGGTTATGTAAGTGATATATTAAACTTGATGTTGTAAATAGTATATAAGTGTACATACACATAGTAATGCATGGATTGTTTTTTTTTGAAGTATATAATATTTATATACGATAAATGAAACTCACACACACTCGCCAACTTTGGTGAGGTTGGAACCCTTAACCTCTAGGAAGGTTGGGTTACCGTGTATTGCTAGGCCTAAGGCCCTTTGGTGCCTGGAATGCTTCTTATAATACAATAAAGATTCTTAGAGCTAGTTGGTTTCTATATATGGATGGCTGTTTTTTTGTTGAGTTCCCTAACCGATGATAGTGTGGAAGACATCCTACAAGTTCTGATTGTCTATGCGGCGGAGTGCCTAGAGTTGGATTTTGCACTACTTTTTCCTGAAAGACATGTACTTCTTCGTGTTCTGCCTGTTCTTGTTGTCTTAGCAACATCATCAGAAAAAGACAGCGAATCACTTAACAAGAGGGTGAAGATGAACAGACTCATCACTATTTTTAAGGTATACCCGATCTTTTTTCCTTTTCTGAAACCCCATTGTGACTGTAAATGCCAAATATGCATTATTCACACACTCATCTATACTACATTAATAAGCATTTAGACCAAAAGTCTTAATTACAAGTCTAAAGTACTATCAATTTATGCAAGAGATTCAAAAATCTCTTAAGTACAAACTATTATGCATAATGTACAAATGCTTAAAACATACCATTTGTTTGGTCAAAGTTTCATATTTAAGTACCATATTTACATGAAAAAGATACGTTTGGTCTTCCCAAAGTTGTTTGACACTTTGTTTGTTTCCTATTTTGAACCCAAATTCAAATATAAAGTTCTTCTTTCTCTTGAAGTAAACTGAAATTTGAAGCAACAATATCAGAAAGGGTTTCAGATCCTGCATGTACCCCACCCCAACCCTTCAACTTTATATGGGTTTAGAAACTCAACATGTGTGCAATTATTTTCCAATCGATCTTGCTAATACATACACCATATTAACCTTCAACTTTATATATTAGTTGACTTGTAAAATAACCACATAAACTCATGATTCAAGGCTAAACTAATGTTTCAAAATTGTGATTCACTCGCACTGCATCGCGCGAGTACAACACTAGTATATTATATGTCCATCTATCTATCTATGTATTCATATATACATGTATGTATGTTTGTGTGCATACATACAAGGAGCACATCCATGGATAATGTTAGAGGGTGCCACCTTTTCTTCTGGCCAATCTTTCATCTTCCATTCTTGATCTGATGGCTAATAGGAACATGATATGTGAGAAATAGTAAACCACATTTAATTTTGGAGCAGTGCAATGGCGAGACTAGCCTTGCATCATTGGTTTCTGAAAAAATTAATTCTTCAACCATGTGGGATTCTTACCCGCATATATTAACAAAATAATGAAGTTAATATAAATGGTACATATGAGGTTAAATTCTCAATATGTCAGAAGTAATTTTAAACTCTTCATAGGAGTATCACCCTAGTACAATTGCTAAATTTAATGTTCAGCCCATGGTATTCGTATGCTGGGTAAGTAAACCTGCTTATGTTTCCTAACCCAAAATGTATATTTTGACCCCAAGTTATCTATCTCCTTCACTGATTAATTTATTTATCTGATTAATTCTTCCTCTTAAACAAAATTTTAGACGAATGCAACTGCAAGGGACGGAAATCATAGCAAGAATGTATCAGAAGTTTTATAGATATGAAGATTGTTTGCAATCAATGGATGGAAATTGTCGTCACCATAAGAAAAATGTTCATTAACGTTGATAGAGAACTCTGAACAGTGTCGAAGAGGTTGACTGTCGTTTTTGATAGAAAGGAATTGAAAACCTAAGATTCTAAGAATTTCTAAACCCGGATGCTGGATGATATTCGTTGACTGTTAATGGATTAAAGTAAAACAAGGGCTCAAATAAAAATAAGAGCCCAAGTCAAAATAAAAGCCCAAAAAAGGACAAAGATGTGAGCACTAGATACAAAAGAGGCCCAACTGAGAATATCGGTATTGCGACTGCTATTTAACTTAATATCGGTGAATAGTGGTAAATTGCGTTGTGATTATCGAAACTGCAATTTCCACCGCAATTTTACCACCGCTATTTTTGCTTATGACCGATAACCTCTGTTGCACCGCTATTGCGCCGCAAGTAACAGCATAGTTGCTCATGCAATCGCCTTCAACTTGTACTTTTTCCAAATTTCTAGATCTCTTAATTTGTTTTTTTTTTTCAAATTCATGCTTTGTACCATTTGCACCCACTAAATTGACACTAATTAATAAAAGAAAAACAATGCCAATGATCATTTAACAATGGGGGCCTTGTTTTAATTTTTGTAGAATAAATTCTATTTGGTTAAAGAACCCTCATGGGACCGTCGGGTCGTGGATGGATGCTAAAAATGTGTTGTGCGATTTTATCCATCCATATGACAAAATGTATTGATTTTCCCCGAATGTATCATAATTTTTGGCTTTGATGCTCTCCAGTATGTAGTTGATAATTTATCATGTATTATTATTTGCACTGTCAATGGTTTGTTCATTGATCCAGGTGTTGCGACATAATTGAAAGAAGCTTAGAAATTTACATTTATTTGTTGTAGAATGATCCAGTGATACCTGCATTCCCAGATCTTCATCTTTCACCAGCTGCAATTTTGAAGGAGCTCTCTATGTACTTCCCCAAGTTCTCTGCTCAAACCCGCCTGCTAAGTCTACCGGCTCCTCATGAGCTTCCACCTCGTGAAGTACAAGAATATCCTCCATGTCAAGTTTTTTATTTGATTCTAGAGATATATTTATGTTGATAGGAAAAAAGATCATGTTTTCTTACTTTTTCTATTGATGGAACAAACATCTGCACTCTCCTTGGTGACCGTGACTAATGGATGATACTAACAAATATTAGTTGTAATATCAATGAATGTCAAGGGCAATCTATAAGTATCACACACCCTGTTTCTAAATAATTGTTTTCCATTCCGTTTTAGATATCAGTTGTCACAAATATTTTCAGCTGTCTAGCAGAGAATTTATAAATACAACATCCAATATATTCTGCTGACCCTCTATCATTACTTTGGGACTCTACCATTGATGTGTTCTTTCGTTGCCACGCTTTAAATCATCATTGTGACTGTTTATAGTTATAATCATAAATTCTTGAACTGCATTTGTTGTCAAGTTTTCAAAAGGTTTTGGGAAGAAGAGAGGAAACCTAGCACATCTACTATTCGTGGTACCATATTACTCACTTGCGTGGTACATTAATCTTCATTGTGTGGCGTCTAAGAGACTACATGAATATTAAGTAGAGCTGGGCTGATCATCTATCGGCATATGAAAAATTACAAATATATTGATATTATTAAGGACCCATTTTTTGTTGTGTGACTCTTCTTTTATAGTGCACTATATCCAAAATGTAAGATAGATTGATAAGGATTCTGCTGCCAATCCAGAGGTGGCAGAAGTATCTATAACACATCCATTCTGTCGTTGATTCAGTACTTGATACTATCAATAATATTGGTTGTTAGCTGAGATTCTGTCATAGCTATGTGTTTAGAAGACTTTGAATTTGGTTGTCTCATATTTGTTTGCCTTGACTTGATTCACTTATCAGCGACATTATTTGATTGTTAATCACATTGGAGGAATTCGTGCTGAGCATGATGACTTTACTATCCGTTTTGCTTCTGCTATGAACCAGGTGTTCATTTCATTAACTCTCTGTTTGTATGCAACTTTTTTGACTTTTCGTATTTGAATGTGAATGCTTTATTATATGTTTGTGCTTCTGGATGTGGTAATCTATTTATTCTATTTGTAAATATTGACATTGTTAGTCACCAACTGTTACTTTCCCTATATATAGAATAGTTTCAACAATCACAAATTTTCTGCTCTATTTTGATAATCTTATGACTGCTAAATTAGTTAACAATTGCATCTTTCTTCCTCCTTACTTTGACAGCTAGCATTATTGAAATCAATAGATGGTGCAGATATTGAATGGTCTAAGGAAGTCAAAGGTAGTATGTACGATATGGTTGTTGAAGGTTTTCAGCTTTTGAGCCGATGGAGTGCTCGCATATGGGAGCAATGTGCATGGAAATTCTCACGCCCCTGCAAGGACATCGTCCCTTCAGAGTCAATTGAAATGACAACACCAATTTCTGATTATGAAAAGGTCTCTATATATGTTGTCTTGTTTTTTCCTATTTTCTCATAACAACGTAAATCTGCCTAGTTGCTTTTCATCTTTCTTTCTTTTGCCACTATTAAGGATGTAAATTCATCCAAACTAGTTATTCTGCTGCAATATTCAACAAGGTGATTAAAACTTCCCTGTTAATGCTAGAATATTTCGAGTATCAATTGCTTGTTGTTGCTTTAGGAGGAGTTCATATTACTTATCCTTGCATCATTTAATTATAAATTTATGCTATAAAAATCCTGCATGTTTAGTAAGTACATAATTTCCTACTAAGATGTGTCAATATGTTCGATTCACTTTCAAGTTGTAATTGCTATTGTTATTATTTTATTATCTTTTGTATATGTTTTATGTCTAAAAGTAAATGTACCTAACATTTTAAAGAGGAAATGTACGAAGATAGGTTTGGGGATAATGTTAGGGTTTGTTTGTGACAATAGTTTGTATCTCATCCTAGGATCTTGTGAGTTTAATTTGCAATATGGGAATGAAGTTTGATTCTTTCAACCAAAAAATTCTCAGCTACGCTGTCACCTGCCAGGGCTTCTACATTCCTTACATGTGAGCTCCTCGATGTCTGAAGTTAATCCGACTTGTTTCAACCTTGATCCATCCGTCACAACTTTCTTTATACTATCACCTGCCAGAGCTTCTCTATCCCTTGCAGTTTCGCGGCACCTTTCCACCTCATAAGGACCTGTTTAGAGTTTCCGGACCTGCTGTAGCCTTTGTGTGTCGTCCCTGGCCTTTGCTTGAGTCTCTCTGTCAGCATCTTGAGCCCACTTGACCCTGGTTGAGTTTGTTGATGTGTCAACTTCTTACCTTGTTGCAACCTAGGTGACTTGAATCTGACCTGCTGATTGAGTGTTTCAATGTCTATCGGTCTACATCATTTGCATTTCTCATTTGTCATTTTTTATGTTTAGCTTTAGGTATAAAGTAGATTGTCTGTTGGGACTCCTGAGTGTGAAAATGTTCACATGCCTGTGTCCCACCTGGTTCATCAAGCTCTCAATTTTTCTGGAGGTGTAGTGTTTGGTTTTATGCTATGCTGTTAATCGCACTGCTATACCGATGCTATCGTGGTTAGCGGTCATGGGACAAATATCGGTGGTCAAACAGCGATTTGGCGACTAGCAGCGCTATTGACTGCTAAATGACTGCATTTTGAACGCAAGAAAGCAGCCACATAACCGCTATTTGTAGATATGCTATTTGTGTGTTAAAAAGTAATTTTGTGGGCTGCTATTTAGGACTTGCATTCGTTTTTTTTAGTCGAACAATATCCAGGCTTCATTATTCTTATTTTTTTGGACTAGGACACCATTATTCTTATTTTTTTGGACTAGGACACCATTATTCTTATTTTTTTGAACTTGGAAACCATTATTCTTATTTTTTGGATTTGGACACCATCACTTTGACTTCTTGTTAAAATAAAAGTATTCACATTGTTCAATTATTTTTATTTGGACTTAGACATCATTATTCTTATATATTTTTATTGAATACATAGAATATGTTGAGTTATGTATGCATATATATAATTCTAATTATTATATGAACCGCTATTTTTGGACTGCTATACCACCGCCTTACCATCGCAATAACCGCTATGTCAAATCACGGTCCTGAGTGCGATTTCATATTTTAATCGCTGTAACAGTGTAAGCTTTATGTTAAGACGCTTTTATGTCTGAACCAAAGATCTATGCTCTTAATGATGTTGTCTTGGAGCTTTTATTTATTTATTTCTGGGAACAATTGTACATGAAAGTAATTTTCTTTCATCATGAAATATGAAATGGTGAAGTGCACACTTTGGGTGGTTATTGACTGAATTATTTGTGGATCATCTTACATGTATGTTATATGATAGAGATATTATCACGGTTTCTCTGTTTGAGAAGGTTTTGTTTATCTTTAGATGTTGGTTATTTTTTATTTGGGCATGCGTCCCTCTGAATTCTGATTGCTCTAATTCTTTTTTGCCGACAACTTCAGGAGAAAAAGAGGCATTTACCTTTTCTTATGGTCTTAGATGATATGATATAAGAACTATGAAACTTGTGGATGGTGTTCTGATTCTCTCTCTCTTCTTTCTTCTGCCAAATAAACGTGAAACGTTATATTTGTTGCAGGTGGTACGCTTTAATTATAGCGCTGATGAAAGGAAGGCTTTAGTTGAAATTGTTAGCTACATTAAAAGCATTGGATCAATGATGCAGCGGTGTGACACATTAGTAGCAGATGCCTTGTGGGAAACTGTTCATGCTGAGATTCAGGATTTTGTGCAGAACACTTTGGCAGCCATGTTGCGTACCACATTCCGAAAGAAAAAGGATCTTTGCAGGTTGGCATCACCCTTTTTAGCTTCAATATTGAGATCGAGGGGTACCCAGGGGTTTTCTTCTTTGAGCATCTTTGTTTACTGCATAAAGCGAAAAAAGTCTATATGAACATGGTGCAGCCAAATGCGGACTTCTTTTTATTAAACACACACAACTAGTGTTCGTGAAAGTGAAATATATGTTGCAGTAATTTTCTATTGGATCTGAATGGAGACGATCTACTAACATGCTATATCAGCAAAGTGAAATATATGTTGCAGTAAATATCTCATTTGCAGTATCATATTTGTAATTACTAACATAGATGATAAATTCGAGCATATATTATGATGAGCATGCCTTGATGACATGTTAAGATGGCTTCACTTTCAAACTTGACAAGAAACACTTATTTGCTTGACCCCTTTGGCAGTGCCAATACCACAAGGAGTCTGATAGAGATGAGAAAAGAAGAAGAAGAAAATAGAGAGAACTCAAGGGAAAGGAGGCTGGTGGAATTATGAGTAAACAGAAAATATAGAACGATCCAGGGAGAATTCCCTCTCTCAATGCACATGCAAAGAGCCAATACAACARAAAGCACTAAATGACATGAAAAGATACGTATCCCCTCCTCCCCTTAAAAAGAAACAAAATAACTAACTTTCTAGCCACTTTCCATAGTTACCCTTTTAGCCCTTCTAGAATAAACTTTCCATTCTACTGGTTTATTCATATTGGACTGCATGACTTTTGATTTCGTAACACTACTCCCGCCATCGAATAAAGTCTTGTCCTCAAAGACTTGTATCTGGAAATTGACTCCTCATTGCTACGACATCCTCCCATGTAGCCTCTTCTACTGGCAAACCCTTCCATTGAATGAGCCATTGATAAACGGAATCGTGGAAAACATTGACTGTCCGAGAAGCCAAGATTGCCACTGGAATAAGCTGATTAGCACCGCCTATTTCCAGTTCTGGAGGTAACATTTGTTCACTTTCCGACCGCACTGCTTTCTTGAGTAACGAGACATGAAAGACGGAGTGGATCTTCGAAGTGGGAGGCAAATCCAGACGATATGCCACTGGTCCCATCTTTTCCAAGATTTGAAAAGGCCCAAAAAAACGAGCAGCAAGTTTTTGATGAATACGCGATGTTACTGACATTTGGCGATATGGCCTCAACTTAACATATACCCATTCTCCTGCCATAAAGTTCACCTCTCTGTGTTTTTTGTCTGCCTGGACCTTCATTGCTGCTTGAGCCTGGGATAAGTGGAGTTTAAGTTGTTTCAAAGCCTTATCACGATCATGAAGTTCTTGACTGACGGCTTGCACCCGTATCTCTCCGGGAATAAATTGAATAACAGAAGGCGGTTTGCGACCGTAGACCACTTCAAAAGGTGACTTACCCGTTGAACTATGGAAGGTTTAGTTATACCATAACTCCGCCCAAGGTAGCCACATGGACCAATTACGGGGTTGGTCAGTAGCAAAACAGCGTAAATAAGCCTCGAGACATCGATTAATTACTTCCGTTTGACCGTCTGTCTCAGGATGATACGCGGAACTCATAAGCAACTTCGTACCTTGAGAACGGAAGATTTCTTGCCAAAAACGGCTAAGAAATAACGAATCTCGATCACTGATGATAGACTTGGGAATGCCATGGTGTCTCACAACTTCACGAATAAAGAGTTCCGCAATACTTTTGGCCGTATATGTGTGCTTAAGAAGAATGAAATGGTTGTACTTTGACAGTCGATCGACCACTACTAAGACAGCATCGAACCCTTTTGATTTAGGCAGCCCCACGATGAAATCCATCGAAAGATGTTCCCAAATAGCTTCCGGAATGTCTAATGGTTGTAACAAACCCCCAGGTAAGGTGGCACTGGCCTTACATCGTTCACAAGTATCACATTCACGAATAAACTTTTTAACTTTCTCCACCATTCCCGGCCAATAGAGATTAGCCGCTAACCTCCGGTAAGTACGATAATAACCGGAATGCCCACCAGACGCAGATTGGTGGAATTCCTGTAATAAGGATGGAATCATCGTGGAAGTAAGAGGAATAGCCAAACGATCCTTATAAAACAAAACCCCTTGTCGGACCCCATACCTCGGATGCAAACTTGGGTTGTTTAACCAACTCGAAGTGATCTGCTGTATTTCTGGGTCACTACACGCTTCCTTCAATAACTCAGCCCCTTGAAGCCATAGTGGAGAAGAGGATAATTGGAGAAAGTCTCCAGAATCAACACGTCGAGAAAGCGCATCAGCAGCTCGATTTTCTCGACCCGGTTTGTATTGAATATCAAAATTATAGCCAAGGAGTTTAGCCACCCAATTCTGTTGATCAGGAGTAGTGATACGCCGCTGTAATAAAAACTTGAGGCTCTTTTGGTCAGTGTTGACGATGAAAGTAGTACCCAACAAGTAAGAACGCCAATGTTGTACTGATAAGACTAAAGCCATTATTTCCCGTTCATACGCCGATTTTGCCAAGTTACGGTCACTCAAGGCTTTGCTGAAGTAAGCGATGGGCTGTCCTTGTTGCATGAGAACAGCCTCGATGCCCCGCCCCGAAGCATCACATTCGACAACGAAAGGGAGGCTGAAGTTGGGAAGAGCCAAAACCAGAGCGTGTACCAGAGCGTGTACCAAAGCATCTTTCAAAGCCTCAAAAGCGCTTTGAGCAACCGAAGTCCAAAGAAAGGCGTCCTTTGTGAGATCGGTTAGAGGGCGAGCGATGCTTCCATAATGTTTAACGAATTTCCGATAATATCCGGTAAGCCCCAAAAATCCCCGTAATCCTTTAATACTTTTAGGAACTGGCCAATCAACGACTGCTTCCACCTTTTTAGGATCCATGGCCACACCGGTGCGAGAAATGACGTGTCCCAAATACTCCACCGATGACTGTCCAAAAGAACACTTATTCTGATTTACTACAAAATGGTTATGTAGTAACAAAGCCAAAACAGCCTTCAAATCATTTACATGGGTTTCCCAACTTGGACTGTATATTAATATATCATCGAAAAATACGACGACCGATTTACGTAATAAAGACCGAAATACATTATTCATTACTGCTTGAAATGTCGAAGGGGCGTTCATTAAGCCAAACGGCATGACTAGGTACTCATAGTGGCCGTCATGAGTTCGAAAGGCTGTTTTCTCAATACTATCGGGCCTCATACGAATCTGATTATAGCCAGACTTTAAGTCCAATTTGGAAAAATAACRAGCACCATATAACTCATCCATAAGTTCCTCGACCATGGGAATCGGGAACTTATCCGGAATGGTAGCCTTATTTAGAGCGCGATAATCCACACACATACACCAAGTATTATCTTTTTTACGAACTAGAATTACCGGGCTTGAGAAAGCGCTTTTACTTGGCGGATCATTCCCAAGGATAGCAACTCACGGACTTGTCGCTCAATTTCGGCTTTTTGAATGTGGGGATAACGATAAGGACGTACACTAATGGGTTGTGGAGACATCAACACAATAGCATGGTCATGAACTCGGGACGGAGGAAGACCCGATAGGGCTTTAAAAATAGCTTAAGATATGTCTAAAAGTTGCTGTAATTCAATAGTTTGAACAGAAGATAGACCTGGAGTGTCGGTCGAGATTGCGAACAAGGAAAACCCGGTAGGAGACTGTACTGCTGACGGAACCGTTATGCAAGTCTGAAGTGATTCTGCAGTTGAGTGGGCTGAGGTTAATCCTTTAAGGTGAACAGGGGTTCCCTGATGCGTAAAACGCATCCAAGCCTTGTCCCAATTATGGGTGACCTCACCCAAAGACCGTAGCCACTCCATTCCCAATACCATATCCAAACTTCCCGTATCGAAAACTAAAACATCCACCAAAAAAGAACAAGTGCCCAACATAATTGAGAGTTGACAACACCTGTGATCTATGAATACTCTATGGCCATCACCCAGCTGAATATTGAGACCATCAAACGGCGTTGAAGAGAGACGCAGAGACGTTACCAACCGTTGAGAGATGAAGTTATGAGTTGCCCCGCTGTCTACCAAAATCAGCAAAGGTATATCAGAGATAGTACCTTCTAATTTTAACGTTTTTCCTCCCGCTATTGTGGAACAGGCACCAAACAATTCTAATGAAGCACATAAACCCTGCTCTGGAACTTCATTTGGGGAACAACGAGACGGCAGCTCTTCCTCCTCGGTACCTAATTCCCCTTCATYGGCCTCGTATTCATCATCTYCTAATAGCAGAACACGCAATTTCCCTTCTGGACACTTGTGTGCGGGGCCGAATTGTTGGCCGCAACGAAAACACAAACCCCTCTTACGACGATCCTCCCACTCCGCTCGCGTAAGAGAGCGAACTCCACGGTCACGATGCCAAACCTGAGAGAGCTCCGATAGGGATGATGCCGATGGACGATACGGTGGGGAACGAGTCGTATCATTTTTTACATAAGGAGGCTTATCACTGTGAGGTACAATTTGAGGCCCACGAACATTGGGCTGGCCCAACTGAGAATAGCACTGCCCATGACCCCCTTCATTCGGCCCTCCCCCATGAGAATATCGATAACGGGAATGAGAAACAGCAGTCGATGATGGACGGAGCATTTCTTCTACATCTTTCGCCAGGTACATCGCATCCAACCGAGATTGAGGTCAATGTAAACGAACCCAACGTTTGACGTCCTCACGTAAACCCGCTATAAAATAACCTATTGCCTGAGACTCAAGTAATTTTTAGGAACCAACGACAAGAGGTATTCGAAATCATCAATGTAATCATGAATTGAAGCGGTCTGTATAATTGTGGCTAATTGCTCAAAAGGGTTTTGGATTTCAAGGCCGCTAAATCGCTGCAGTAATTCAACTTGTAATTGATCCCAGGTAAGGGAATCGTGAACCTGCGTAACGATGGTAAACCAGGAGAGATATCAATAATATCTCTCCTCATCTGCGTAACGAACTCGCAGATGAGGAGAGATATTATTGATATCGAAATATAGTGACGCCTTCTGGATCCATCCTTGAGGATCAAGGCCATAAAACTCTGGGAGTTTAATCTTCTTTACTGCCCAAGGAAGGCCTCCCGTAGGAGACAAAGAAGCCGGTCCTGAATTAGAAAACAATCCCGAGGACATACCTCCTTTTGGTGACGGAGGAGAATCACCAGAAAACGAACCGGGATCACCCCGCGGAATGTGGGATTGCCGTTTCATCCAACCTAACATCATTTGACGAAACTCACTTGTCTCAGCACGATCCGAATCTAATACTGAAATCGCCGATTTGATCTCCAACAAATCAGCTTGTAAGCGCTGAATCTGCTCGTCCTACTGTTCAAAACGGCTTTGAACAGAATGCGTCTCCATGAGTCCGGCAGGTCACAGGGTAGGTCGGACCAATGATAGAGATGAGAAAAGAAGAAGAAGAAAATAGAGAGAACTCAAGGGAAAGGAGGCTGGTGGAATTATGAGTAAACAGAAAATACAGAACGATCCAGGGAGAATTCCCTCTCTCAATGCACATGCAAAGAGCCAATACAACAGAAAGCACTAAATGACATGAAAAGATACGTATCCCCTCCTCCCCTTAAAAAGAAACAAAATAACTAACTTTCTAGCCACTTTCCATAGTTACCCTTTTATCCCTTCTAGAATAAACTTTCCACTCTACTGGTTTATTCATATTGGACTGCATGACTTTTGATTTCGTAACAGAGTCTCAGTTGTTTAATTTCCATGCTAGAAATGAATCCATGACTTTCTAAGTTTGTATAATATAGTTGAAGTATAAAGTTGTGAAGGTTTTCCTTCTGGACTTATGCATACTTGCATCTTAATACTCCCAGTAGCCTGAAGAGAGATTGATAGCCTTCCTTCGCTATCCTTTTCTTTCTTTTCTTTTATGCTTTTATATTGTTGTGATGCTCTAATTTGCTCATTATTGCTTTTCAGGATACTCTCTGATATGCGGACCCTTTCAGCTGATTGGATGGCTAACACTAGCAAGCCTGAATCTGAGTTACAAACATCACAACATGGAGGCGAAGAAAGCAAAGGGAACTTCTTTTATCCAAGGGCAGTTGCACCTACTGCTGCACAGGTCAAATTTTTATAACCATTAAACAATTTTATTTGTGTGCTTCTTCTGTTTGTGCTAATCAGCATCAACTTCTACGCTCTCTTCTCCTTTCTTTCAGGTACATTGCTTACAATTTTTGATATATGAGGTGGTATCTGGTGGTAATATGAGGAAGCCGGGTGGTCTCTTTGGGAATAGCAGCTCTGAGATTCCCGCAAATGATTTGAAACAACTGGAAACCTTTTTCTACAAGCTTAGTTTTTTTCTACACATACTAGACTATTCAGGTTTGTCCCAAACCCTTCATCTGTTTTATGACAATATCCTAGTATGTTACATCCTAATGTATGACTTGCTTTTAAAAAGAAAGTGGTCCACAATTTAATAAACGAATCAATTCTCTCCCAGAATTGATGTTGCAACAAACTCCTTCCACACTAGTCAAAAGTAGAAATATCTCAAATCCTTAATATTAGTCAACCACAATCGCATGCCTATAGTGATTCAGGCAGTAAAAGGATAAGATGGTGGCTAAAAGTGATGATGATAGTCAGGACTTAAATCATATTGCTTTGATTTTCGTGTTTATCTTCCGAGTAATTGTAAAATTTATTTTGGCAGTTCGGAATGAGCAGCACCACATCTATTTAGTGAGGAGATGATAATTGCATGTACTCAGTCCATTCTAATGTTAGCAATAGATGTCAAGTTTGGAAGGCAAAAGATACATGATACAACTCTGGTGGAAAATTCGTCTACCATGTTAATTATACAGAAAAATACCACCAACAACCAAGTCTAAAATCTTTTAGTGAACTTTTTGTTTTTTCAGTTATTCATTTATAGCTAATACTAACTTTTGTTCTTTTTAACTATTCAGTTACAGTTGCAACGCTGACAGATCTGGGTTTCTTATGGTTTAGAGAATTTTATTTGGAATCTTCACGTGTCATCCAGGTAAGCATGGCTGAAAGTTCAGCAATATATCCTTGTGTAAAACTGTTCATATCATTCTCTTATTTCATTGGTTGTAAATTGTGAAAGAGATTCCAACAGTTGTAGGTTTAATAATCATTAACAAAATAATCTTAAAAGGAACATGGATAGAAAATTAATGAGAACTAATAAAGGTTAAATCACTACTCTAAAACTATGCTGTTACAAAAAGAACTAACAAAACCCCTCCAAAGTTGGTGCATCAATGTTTTACATGGCTGCCGAATTGGAATTCGTAAACCGCAGTTATTGTTTGTGGTGGAAACGCTAATCTTGAAACACCCTGGATTTGGTGCCTGCAATTATGACATCTCATGTTATGCAGAGGCCTTCATTATCTGCGCATCCGGTCATGCCAATTTATTGTTTGAGGAACTATTGCTGTCCTACTGGCTAGCGGTGGAAGGTTTTGTTCTAGTACGGCTGTTGTCCTTGATAGGAGAATGCAAATTGTAATGAAATAACAATATAAGTGTTCAAATGTGGTTGAAGATGGATCCATAATCATAGCCGAAAAAATGCGAACAAGTGTCCAATTACTGATTATATGGGATGAAACTTCAAGTACTAAATTTGTTGGTTAGCTAATGCATTTGATCAATGCTGAAGATAAGATAATTCCTCATATATTTTCAGTCGGTCAAAAAGAAAAATAATTGATGATGCTGGAGTATGTAATGATGAATCCTGCAATTTCTCCCTTTTATCTTTTCAAGACAATTTCTTTTTCGGATGGCCACAAATTTATGTTATCTCTCTATGTAGAATTCGTTATACCTGTAAATAAATAGTGTTAATTAAGTACAATTAGTTTTACCATTGAATTACGATCATCAAAAAGTAATTAGACAAATCTAAGAAAGATATGTATGAATACACAATAACGAGCATGTAAGTATGTGACATTGACGTGCATGCGTTCCCTATTACAATAGGGTACACCAAGAGTTGGCCATGATTCCTCTTCCTTTTAGATTAGTGATAGATGAGCGCTTAAAGACATAAAGCTACATGTATGTGTATAATTTGGAGGTGATATCGTGTTGATTGATGAGAGAATGGTGTTAATGTGAAGTTGGAGGCTTGGAGAAACACACGAAGTGCAGTTTTAGCTATATTGATAGGGAAGGGGGAAATGTGGTGGGAAATAGTTAATGACTACATGCATGTTGTATCAGATCGGTTTTAAAGATGAATAGAGAGATTGTTGAAGATGCTGCATGGGATATGAGTGGAGTGGATGAAATGATAACAAGAGCGAGTCATGACAAAGAATTTGCAGATGCATGCAAAGCGAGTTGGTCTTGGTTAGGAGTGCGTTGATAGAAGTCATTTCCACAAACTCTGGTTGTTTACTCCTTATGTTTGTTATTGTATTCACAGCTTTATAGTTTCTTTTAATTTCATCTTTATACTTCCAACTAGTTTGGAACAGAAGGCCTCCTGTTATTGGATCTTAATCAGAGCCTGTATGTTTTCAATCTAGCCATTCATTCCTTATCTTATTGGTGAAGAAAACTAACTTCATCATGCATAGATATATTTGTTAATAATTTAAGAGGGGGAGTTTCTGGCTGTATCTGTTATTGTGAACATGCTTGTGAGAAGCAGGAAACAAGTTTATCTAGTTGATGTGAGTATGGCTTGACAAAGGAATAGTTTTTCTATCTCCTTGGACATTGGCATACCTTGTACGTACTGGAATTGATCCAACATTTTGAAGTGTTGATTGCATACTTCTGGTAGATTGAAAAGGGGCGGGTATTTTAATTGTCTAGGCCAATAGTGTAAATGGTGTTTCACGCATGCAAGCTGTTTTCCTGCAGGCGGTTTGAGCCTCTTATGGCAAGTCAAAAATAGCACAACCTTAATTTGCAACTAACCTTTACGACAGAGCAAGCAACTACCTATCTAACCTGTTCTGGTGTTCCTATGGTAGCAGTTCTAATATTGTAGGGTTCTAAGATTGAATTACTAGGGAATTCAGTCAGGCCAAAAATTGAATGTTAAGAATGCCACTTAAGAGATATCCTTGTTTATATACTTTTGGTCACCCCATCTCTTGCAGGTTAAGAATGCTATTACTAAACCTAATTCAGCAGGGTGTCTATGTTGAGCTACCATCTTGACCTGTTCATGAGGTCACTCTGTTATTGTTCTTGAGGATGAGCTACCCTCCAATCACTTTGTTGCTTGCTTGGCTTTTCTTGAACAGTAGTCTTGCTACGTGGAGGCACAAACCAGGTTTCCTTCTTGGGTGAGAAGTCAAGATATAGAAGTAGAAGCGACAAGAGGATTCCTCTTCAGAAGTCCAACAAGTTTGACTAACCTATCTGTGTTGTGTTGGTGTTGAGGCATTCCCTGAAGTCCATCAGGTTTGCCTGGTTCTGCTGATTGCACTGCCTCACCTTTCTTGTAAGTTAGTCATTAGTTAGTCCACTGTTTGGCTTTCTACCTAGATGGCACTTATCCTGGATGAGTGGTTGTTTTGATTTCTACGTGTTCATTTAGACTTGTTTGAGAGTCGTCTTCATCTAGGTTCACTTGGACTCGATTTGCTTAGGAAATGTTGGATTTTCGTTTTTACATGGGCGAATCTGCTTTTCTACTCTATTTAATATTTTGCTTCATATTGTTTCCGTTCCCCTCTGTTCCATCTGTATTTGGAACCTGTTTGTAGTCTGTTTACTCAGTTTCTGTTAAATCGAAATGGAGGTTCTAGCTATTCTGTACTTTTGTTTCCTGTGCGACTGAAAATGGGAAGGGAAAGAGCTTATTTGAGCTTAGTTTAGGTTGTCTTGCATTAATTTAGAGTTTTTGTGTCAACTTGTCAGACCAACCCTTTAACTAAATTTTTATCTTTCTCGGTAATTTCCTTCTTTAGTCTGCCACCCTGTAGTCTGTTTCATAAGTAGAATTTTATCTAAACCTAAAGAATATGTGAAATGTTAATCAGCACATGCTGTGTCCTTTATTACTATGCTTTATCCTTCACATTATATCGGTTTGAATCTTATGTAGTTTGCTCATTGCAGTTTCCTATAGATTGCTCTCTTCCTTGGATGCTGGTGGATCATGTACTGGAGTCACAAAATGGTGGTCTTCTTGAAAGTGTTTTGATGCCATTTGACATATACAATGACTCTGCTCAGCATGCCCTGGTTGTGCTCAAGCAACGTTTTCTCTATGATGAGATTGAAGCTGAGGTAACTTACCCCAAATGGGTTCTATAATTTGCCTGTTGACCATTTTATTTTTACTGTTACATTTACAAGTTACATAGTGATATTAGAAAAGAAGACATGCATATTGATGAAGTTTATCATGTCCCACATAATTTCTTGATTATAACTTTTGTGGAATCTAAGCTGCCTTCTCCACTCGCTTATTAGATATTTATAACAAAGAAACAAATAAGTGATGTCCTATTGGGACAATATTCACTTTCTAAATAAATTGAGCTGCATTTCTGACCTGAAAGTTTTACTTAGAAATTACAACATATTTCTTTATCAGAAATGATGCATAGACCACTAAGAAAGGTGAAATATATCTTTGCCGTCAAAGCAGAACCACCTCAGGCTTCTGCTTCTTCTACTTCTAACCAGGAATTTTTTCATGTATTTCTGGTATCGCTGAACCCTACAGTTTGCTAAGTGGTGCAGAATCCTAGGGCCACCCTTACTAAGTGGTGGACCATTGCAATAGATTATTCAAGGTTTAAGATTTTAAGTCACATGATGATTGTATCATCTTGAGGGGGTAGAGAGGCTGTGAGAACTTTCTTCGCCATAATATGCCAATATTATAGTCTATTCAAGGTTTAACATTTAAGATTACAAGGCACATGGTGATGATATCAACTTGAGTCAGTCGTGCTTGGAATAATGGCGACTGACTTAACTTTTTGAGATGATGGATTTAAGTGTGGCTGCATATATCATCTTGATCCTTTTGTATCGGTATCTCTTATTAGAACTTCTGTTTTTTAATCTGTTTGGATTCAACAGAAAGTAAATTATGCTTTGCTTCTGTTTGACTTTCTGAATACTTGCTAAATGGCTGCATATATCGTCTTGATCCTTTTGTAGGTGGATAATTGTTTTGATATATTTGTCTCGAGGTTGTGTGAGGTTATATTCACACACTACAAAAGTTGGGCTGCTAGGTATTCCCTTCCCTTTACTTTGCGTTTGGCCTATCAGGATTAACTAAAGAAATCCAGTTGTTACAAATGTGTTGCCAAATTCTCCAGTGAGCTGCTTGATCCTTCGTTCCTTTTCACATTGGATAATGGTGAAAAGTTCTCTGTCCGCCCAATGAGATTCACTGCCCTGCTGAACATGAAAAGAGTGAAGGTCAGCAAGATATCTATTTCTGCCTAACTGATGTTACCTGGCTTCCAGATGAAATTAGGCTCTATTTCTTTATACAATTTTCATTTTTTTCTTTTTTCGTATAGTGGGTAAGGGCCTTTTTATTCTGGAAAAAGGTCCAGCAGCCCACCTACTTAATTGAACTCTGGAAAACGCTGATAAAAAATAAAAATTAGAAGATGTGTACAAATAGTCTTTATGCTCATGGTTCAGAGTTCGTAAGCAGGGCTGCATTTCATTATTTTTCTCACACATATTTATAATCTACAGTTACTTGGAAGAACAATCAACTTGAGGAGTTTGATTGCTGAGAGGATGAACAAATTATTTAGAGAGAACCTTGAATTTTTGTTCGATCGCTTTGAGTCCCAGGACTTGTGTGCTATTGTTGTAAGCAACTGTAACTTTATCTTTTGATGCACTTGATCATTACCACTTAGCCATGTCTTCACCAAATTCTCTGTAGATAGATGGTTCTATAATTTGTTTTTGTGGTGATTTGATGTTTTTGATTTTTAATTAATCCAGGAGTTGGAAAAGCTTTTGGAAATCTTACAAATGACTCATGAATTCTTGTCTCGGGATCTCACTATAGATTCTTTCAGTATCATGCTGAGTGAGATGATGGAAAACATCTCTCTTGTTTCTTACTCAAGTCGACTTGCTTCTCAGGTTTAAAGATTTTCTCTTCTCTACCTCGGTCATGTTCTCTTTCTAGCACGTTAGTTGGGTATTTGAATGCTTACTGCTAAATTGCTAAGGCACAATTTCTCAAGATATATCTATGTTTTACTAAAAGAAGTGGTTTGATGTTATATTCATTTAGATATTTGAAAATGAGGAGATTCGTTTAAAGGGTCCCTTATAGGGATCATATCATCAGATATTTAGATCGTCAAACTTGTTACTTCGTATTAATATAGGTAGTCCCATTTGTGTAATTGTGTGTTTCATGCTCCCAATGCATTAAAAAGGAAGCTGTAGTGTAATACGTTTTCTCTTTCTACTATTTATTTTCTCGTAAACAAAAAAGATTAGGACATAGAAGTGGATATCTATAGGTATCATCATCATCCGCCTTTTATTCCCCAAAAAGAAAATTGAAGAGGAGAATGTTTGTATACATGTTGATATGACGAAAAGCAATGTCATATTTATAGCCGTTTTGCGATAAGCACTAGGCTGTAACTTCGGTCAATAGACCCATCTAATTACGATCTTTTTCTTAAGGGTGTAACTTGGGCTGGGGTAGCGTTTGGACCGCCCATACAACCTAATTCAAGCAATTTAAACAAATTCGATTTCAGAATTTACTAATATGGTTTGTATTAGGTTTTTTATATTGAATTCAAATAATATATTAAGTCAACTAAAATAATCTTCTGATCCAATCAGTACCTCTGGTCTGTTTTTCAAGTGGGGTTCAAATAATATATGGGTTGGGTCTTGGTGCAATAAAACCTAAATAACCCTTGTAAGCAGAATTAGACAAAAACAAAAGATGTGTCACGAATTATCACTTTCTAATGGTCACATGCTCAAGCTTTCGTTTTGCCCTCGGTTTCCTTCATCTCATGCATCTGGGAAAGGAAGCAAAGCTATTTAAGTAAGAGTTAGCGCCTATGGAAAAGGCTTTATTGCATGCTCCTCTATTCCCTCTCAGAAAATTTCATGTACCTTGTACTACAATTAGTTTGTCGATTCCATTTTCTTTTTGTATGTACTACAAGTAAAGTTGATGCGTCTTTTTCTTATTTCAATTTTCTTTTTTCTCGTTTTATATGTAATGCACTGGCTTCTTTTTGTTTTCTTTTTGTATGTATTAATGTGTCATATGATACAAGATATGCTTAATCTCTTTTCCCGCTCTTGTTGCTTTATTTAGTTATGATACTTTTTTGGGCATTTAAAGTATTATATGATTAAATTAGATTTTCATTTTTGTTGTTATAGTACTTTATTATTAGTTGATCCTTTATTTGTTTACTGGGATTTTGAAAAGAGAAGGTGTGAATTCTTTGTTCCAAATGTAATACAATGCTTTCCTGTGCATCAAGGTGTGGTATGCTACAAGTATGCTTAAAAGTTTCAGTATTGTGCTTTTTCAAGTATATGGTATGCACTTTTTTTTTTGCATTACCTATTGTACAATAAGATTCATTTTCCTTTTTTTCTTTTAATTTTCCCTAAGTTATTTGATGCACTTTTTGTTAATTCAAATGTTGTCTGGAAGAATTAAGCTTGTAACTGTTAGAGACTTCCACTGATATCTTAACTATTGACCTAACTTTATGTGTTGTTCCAGAAGTAAGACAATGCCTCAGTTATAGATACATTAAAGTATCATACAATATTTTAAGATTCTTGTTCTTGTGCTCTTTAAGTGAATAGTATACCTTACATAATGTAGTTTATTGTACTATTAGTGTTGATATATCTTATTATTAGACATCATAAAGTTATATGATGTGTCAATTATGCATTCTAGTATATCCAATGCATGTAAATTCTAAGAATTTGTAGAAGATTGGAGTTTGCTGTGCTGTAAATCCTCTTTAACGAACTTGCTCATGCTTTTATGTTCCTGGCATCCTTAAAAGTATCATGAACTTATAAAATATTCCTAGGGGTTCCATCCTTTTTTTCCAGAAAAAAAAGTATTATGAACCAAATTTCAGATTGAGATCTCCAACTTGTATTCCAACTGTAAAGATCAGTTGTAACTTTTAGGTGGTAATGTTAAATGCCTGTATACATGTTCGGATGGTTGTTACTTTCGGAAGAAATTATCAATCAGGATGACCACAAGTAATTATCATCCTCAGTGGTCAATGTCCATAATATATTTATCTGGGTGTACTGTTCTGTGTATTTGACACTATTTTCTTAAGGGATGATCATAATTTACATTATAATTGTGTAAACATACTGTGAAAAGAAATTAAATACTTATATATTACATGGAAATTAACACAGAAGATGTCATACAACATCTACATCATAAAGTGGTTTGACTCTTGGAAAAATCCTATTTGTTTCTTGCTGGTATTTTCTTGTATAACATAATGATTTTTTCATCATCCTAGATTTGGACGGAGATGCAGAACGATTTTTTGCCCAACTTCATCCTATGTAATACAACTCAACGCTTTGTTCGATCATCAAAAGTGCCATCAGCTCCTGTTCAGAAACCATCAGTTCCATATGCCAAGCCAAACTTCTATTGTGGAACTCAAGTAAAATATTATTAGGAAAAGTCATCAGTATATTGATTTGATTTAGATTCTCTGAATGCTTTTTGAACTGTGTTTATTGTATGTCATTTGTTACATGTTTGTCATTCTTGATGAAATTGGGAAAACACTTTATCATCCTTCAAAAAGCATTATAAAGGATATAATTATTTGTATATGTTAATATATAGCCTCAAAAGAATCTGCATGGAAGGTTTTCCCTAATAAATTAAATTTCCATGGCATTATTTGATTACTTTGTTAGCTACATGATGTTAGTACACACTTTGTCATCCTTGCAATATTGGTTTCAACAATAACCTTATGAATCATTATCATGATAATGTTTATTACGTTAAACATATGTTGTCCACTTAAGATGTTAGTAGCACTTACTCATCGTACCCTACAGACGGCCAACTTCATCCATCTCTATATTAAAATGGTGCAATTTTCCATCAGTATGGCCATCTAAAGGACAGTTATACTTCTAAATAACACCTTTGGCTTTGTAATAAATAGGTCAAAGCACAACTAATATTTTATCTTAACGTGTAGTTTATAAAAACAACCAGAAGATATTATCAAGTTGATGCAAGCCAACAAGAACATAAAGAGGAGAAAACTACCCTAGGGTTCCTGGACATAAATTTTATATGCCATCTCCCACTGCATACCACACTTGCTAAGTTTTCTTTTCTATTGCCCCAATGTCAATCTTGGCCAACCTAACTACTTCTCTCATCATCTCCCAGCCTTCTCTTGTAAATCTGCATCCTATCCCTCATTGTGTGGTCGGACATCCTTCTTGGCTACTTCTCCAGCTATGCTTGCAACATCTTGCTCTTCCTGTGAACACCACTAATGTTTTGCCTTCTATACTCATTTATTTTGGCTTAATCTAAAACCTTCATATCCTCATCTATTCCTCAATCCCCCTACTTCGTAACACTTTGCCTTTCGTGCTTGTTCTATTTTTTGTACATCGACGCTAAAACGTACTTCTGTTTCCACCTCTCATGTTTGTGTGCTTTATATCTCTTTGTACTTCTTTGATTTCTTTCTTCGTCTTCTTTTCTCTGAAACTTACCCTGCTAAAACATCTCAGATTTATCCAACTCTTTTAGTGGATAGTATTGGTGTGTATTTCATGCGCACTTGGTTAATCTATGTGGTTCTCAATATTTATGTTTTTTGTCTTTTTTATCTTTTTCATGTTACTTACAATTATATTATTACATTGGGGATTTTAGGAATTAAACTCTGCTCACCAAAGCTTTGCTCGATTGCATAGTGGGTTCTTTGGGTTACCTCACATGTTCTCCATCGTACGGCTTCTGGGCTCTAGATCATTACCTTGGCTTATCCGAGCACTACTGGATCATATATCAACTAAGGTATGTACACAGTTGTAGTTATGTGTGAATGACCTATTTGTAGAGTTTGTCTTCATACTGCTGATAGTGCTGTCTTGTAATTTTTGTTTCTCGAACCAGTTGTCCTATCATTTAGTGGCTCTTCATTCTTACTCTTAGACGTTCCCTTTACTCTGTTTTCCAGTTTTTTAACAGGTAGAATCGACATTAATCGTTGTAAAAATAGATATAAAAATACAAAATGGAGATTTAACGCTCCGTTGTACTGTACATCAGAAAAGATTAAAAAACATAGTGGAAGCTGTGATATTGTAGCATCATGAGGACCTAAGAAGCAGGGGTGCTTCTGCACCTTGCCCATTCCACGTATCAGGCTTTTGCAGCACAGTTCTTTGTGGGTGTGGCGGGGCCCCCTCGCTGTCCGGGGTTTACCATATCCAGAAATTATTGACCATGAATTCATGGGGATGCCAAAGCGGCACTTTGGGTCTTCGTTTTACTGAAAAGAAATGAAAATTTACAATCTGCACAATTAGAAATAAAGGCTGAACTAAAATACACACTTAAGAAGGTGTTAGTGTGTATCTATCTTAGATATTATACAAACAAATTAGGAGATAACTTTTTCACCTATTAGTTTGGCTTTAGATTATTGTGTGTGTATATATATATATATTTAGACACATAAATTTGTCAAGCAACTATATCCTGCAACATAGATACGTATGTGTTGAAGCTGAAACAAGTGTACTGACATTATGGTGGTCATGTTAAACTAAATGAAATATTATTCTTTTTTCTTGGTGCAACACTCTCTGAGTGTTCTGGGGATCTGAACCACCTGTGATTTCAACAATCTTTGATGGCTCTGATACTTGTTCCGAGTTTTGGCCAATGCTGTCTGAAAGCAGCTCTAGCTGTTTAGGTTACTTTCTCATTATTCCATTTTGGAATATCATACCTGAGTTCAAATTTTTATGATTAATCGACATTAAAATGATTACTTTACAAGATGTAGAGCTTATCTACTCTGAAGTTGGTACAGAGCTGGTTGTTCACCATTTTGTCTTTCAATGCAATTTTTTGAGCTTATACTTGCCGTTTTAGTAGTGGGGGTTATTCACAGAAACATTCTCTCTATCCCTCAGGGTAGAGATAAGATCTACATATATCCTATCCTCCCCAGGCCCTACTCTGTGTGGGCTTCATTGGGTGCGTTTGGTTTTACTTTTACAATGCTTCAGACAAACCCAACTCGAGGTTGGGGTTTGCAATCAGGAACTCTTAGGTATAGCTGTTAGCTTTCGGGGAGTGTTGCTGGCATCTGGAGTTGCTCTCAGCTTGTTTCTGCATGTATGTACATCAGTCACTGTTTAGCAGGTTATGTTTAAGAATTTAGAGGAGGTGATTATATTTTTCTTCTATATAAATTTTAACTACAAGGTGCATATAGGACTAAACTTGTGGCTCGAAGGCCCCTAAGGCCTCTGCAAGTGAGAACTATGTCTTTGGAGTGTTATTGTTTATTACTACAGTGTGCTAACCATTGCTCAAATCATCATCCTCTGCAATGTAGCACATCATTTTGAAATTCACTTCCGGGATTTAACTGTTTGTTCAAATATTCTTGTTCTTGATATCATTGCCATAGTCCAATGGTTTGCCTCAACTGATTCAGATAACAACCCTCGAACCGATGATAACTGGATTGCAAGAGGCATTGCCAAAGTCTATTGGTTTGCTCCCTTTTGATGGTGGTGTAACAGGTATGTGATCAAGATCTATCTTTATCTTTCGCCCTGTATGCATGTGTGTTATAGTATTCATGTATGACAATTGTATTCTCTCCCAATTGCATGGATATGTTGAATTGGAATAAAAGCATTGATGTGCAGTACCTGCAAAAAGTGATTTAGGCTGTTGACATAGTCTTCTAGGGTGTTGGTTTATAGTAGCATACCATAGTTTTACCAATTGTTGATGTAGTGAACTTTATTGATGATATCTGTTAACCAATTTCACTAGCTTAATTAAATAATATTATGCTACCAATTCTGCTGTGATAAACCAATATTCATGTAATATTTTCGAATTATGCTACACATGTTTTCATGGTCATATCTATGTATTATGATCCAATAATTCTTTAAACTCAAATACTTAGATGATGCATTGCAAATTGCTTCCAGGTCTGCTTGTAGCAGCCATAACCTTTAACTTGAACCATTAGGGATTGGTTGCAGAAGCATTTGTGTCATTCACCCCGGCGGCCTTAGGTTGTTGTGACACATCTACTTCCACTCCTTATGTCCTAACCACCCATTTTCCCTGGGTACTTTGGCGTTTTGGATGTATCACCCTGAAGATGCTCAAAGGACTTGGATGTATCATCCTGAAAGGTTTTTGCAGAGAGTTAGTGAAAGAAATGCTTCTTTGTATTATTCTAAAAGGAGCCCTACCTGTTTATAGGGGCCTCCACCCCTTAGGAATTCTTTAGATATAGGAGACTTCTTGATTCCTCTTACAAAATTTCTAACTTCTCAAAAGTATCAAGCATACTCCATATGGCCTTAGTCTATACTAGTAAGATACGAGAAACACTAGAACATTTTTTGTAACAATACAAGTCCCTAGAGTTTTTTAGTGCAATTAAGTAGCCTTCCTTGGTGGATGCGTTGATGACAGTTTGGTAGGGCCATGCAAGGCACGGATGTGGCTTCACCTAATGAATAGCTTTTGGCCCGTGAGAATATGCTCGTATTGACACAATTATATGCTCTTGAAAGAATATAACTAAAAGCTGGGTTTTTTTTTTATTTTTAAAATTAGTAGAATGGAGTCTTCTGAAGTCATTGACTCACTGCACTATGGTGGAACTTTCGTAATAAAGCTGAGGCAACAAGCGTGATTCTTCTTTACGCTTAGCACTTCTTTTATCAATCCGACTTCTTTCTCTTAATTCTATGCTCTTGTCAAACAACAAAAATTTTAAAATGGCAGGATATTCCCACTTCTTCCGATTTCCCTGAAGTCCTATTTGATAATTATTCTTCCTGACTTCCACCTCCCCACCACTTTTGGCAAGTGTATCACTTCCATGATTTGCAACCTTGCAGTGTTAGTGTGCATGAAGAGAACCAACATTCATATTTTTGTTAAGGTTACTAAACTCTGAACTCCCATAATGCACCTACATTAGAAAAGCCTAGTGTCCATGGAACACATACTTCTAAAACATGTAGGTAAGAGCATTTTGACTTCATAAACTTTACATCAACTGAAGTAGACCTTCCAGCAATCGACCGTTGTGCTGGATCCAAATCTAATGCAAACACAGCAAAACATATAGAATCAACAGTGGAACAGGTTCATGTGTAGATGAAAACCTTAGAAAATATTCCCTCAAGTTAAGGTTAAAACCACATATACTCCCCAGGGACCGATTTGTAACTTCATCTGATACTAATGATCATATTGCTATCCCTGGTGAAAGTGCAAAACAGGCTAATTGGGAAGATGCAGCGAGTTATGTACATAACGTATGCCTAACCCGCATATCACAAGCACACCCACACTCACACTGATACTGAATCCTATTATGTTTATATACTCAAGTGTTGACCATTTCCTGAATCTGTTACAAGAATATGTTTAGTTTCTTTGTGGTACCTATCTGAACTATTCTTTGTTTAGGCTGTATGCGGCTTGTCAAAGAACTTCTTAAGTGGCAGTCAAAAACGGAACTTAAAACAGAGATTCTACATGGGATTAAGGAGGTTGGAAGTGCCTTATATTGGATGGGGCTGCTTGATATTGTTTTGGTGAGTTCTCAGTTTGTTCATGTCTTGTACATTAATGGAGCTTATGACTGCACAACTACTACATTTGGTCCTAAATTACATTTTCCAAACACTTGTTGAAAATATGAATATGCTGGTAAACGTGAAAGGAAAAGGTATTAATTATGATGAGTGACCATATAAACGTAAGCGGAACAAGTGGTGAGCGGTTAAGATGGAACTGGCATCCACAATATGCAGAAATTAAATATTGTAGACTTGGTGCTAACCATCATTGTTGGCTGGTATCACATACAAACAAGTTTCTTGATATCAAAAACTTAACAAATCAAAGGGAAAGAAGAAGAAGAGAGGGATATAACCTTTTTAATTTTAGTTTACAAATCTCAGGGACATGAATATGTGAAGCTCCCGCACAGCTCTAGCTTATTCTCAATTTCATTGAAATGGATCAAGTAAAAAGTAATATCACAAGTATCTTACTAGATAGTCATTAATCTCCTGAAAGAAAAAAGTACTTGTAAAAGATTTTCAATAGCTTTCTCTGACATTTTTGTGGAGCTTTTTCTTATAATTTTAGATACCTACTTCATGGAAACCTTATATGCCATAAAAAACTTAACAACTAATTTCTCAGAATTATATGACATAATAAATAGCTGCTTCTTACTCTTTCAATACTGATGTTCAACAGAGAGAAGTTGACACAACACAGTTCATGCAAGTGGCCTCATGGTTAGGCTTGATACCTGGTGCAGATGGTCAAATACTACAGTCACAGGAAGAGGGAAGTAGCCCTGTTGTCACTCTCTTCAAGTCAGCCACTGCTGCTATTGTATCAAGCAACCCTTTAAATCCCACACCCTTCTACACAATGTCAAAACAGGCCGAAGCTGCTGGTGGGTATACTTTGTCATTCCTGTTGGTAGATAATCTGTACATTCTTCTCCTTGGGTTCATCTTACATGCTACTGAAACAGGTGTACTTGGTTTAATTTAACAAAATGAAAACTGTTCATTTGTTATAGTGACCTAGTAACTTCACCATTTGTTGCTCTCAGCTACTCATGATGATGGTAAAATGAAAAAAGTGGCAACGTATTAAATAATTCCTTATATAGTGTCTTAGGCTTGTAGAATAATTTGCACATAGCTAAAGTTAAGGTGTTATGAATTAAGTAGTGAGTGTATAAGATATTTGCGCATTAAATTAATTTTGTCAAAGTGCCATTATGTTCCATTCTCAACTTGCAGACTTACCTTGCTTACTTTGCCAATGATCTGGACTTCCTTTTTGCTATTCCTATACTAACAAAGGCATACCATTTTGTGGGGTTTGTTTATCAGTCATTGAGACCTTTTAATGGATCAAAATTTTGTTTGTTTCAGATTTATTGTACAAGGCTAACTTAAATACTGGAAGTGTGCTTGAGTATGCCCTTGCTTTCACCAGTGCTGCACTGGATAAATATTGCACCAAATGGAGTGCTGCACCAAAGACTGGGTTCATTGACATTACCACATCAAAGGACTTTTACCGTATATTTAGTGGTCTCCAAATAGTAAGTGATGCTTTCATTATTTCACCTCTCCTTGAGATATTCGATATTCCTTAATGTTATTTTTCTATATGTTTATAGTACTTGTATTAGGCTTGATTATATCTTCTGCTACTAGGTTTTAGTTGACTGTCATATCATATGGAATACTCCATCCGTTCCAAAATAAATGTCTAAGATAAAAGAACACAGAGTTTTAGAAATATATAACTATTACACTTTTTAATATGATTTTATTTGCAGGAATACTTGGAAGAATGTATGCAGGTACCCCCAAACAACCATGAAATGTTGGGTGATTCAGTTGCATGGGGTGGTTGCACAATAATATACTTGCTTGGTCAACAACTTCACTTTGAGCTCTTTGATTTCTCCTATCAAGTCCTCAACATTGCAGAAGTTGATACTGCACCATCAAATAAGACTCCTCACTTTGCTCAGGTCCAATCATTGTCAACTAAATTATTTTTTCAAAAGTTCTGGATCATTGATTTCTATATATGTTGCCAAATTATATGCATCTTCCCAGTTTATTAACAATGGGAAAACTCATTTTTGATACACTCGTGTTCTACACTGATGCTGTCTATACTTTTTCCAATCATGTAAGAGATTTGAAAAGCACCAACATGATCAACCTTAAGGCCAGATTTATCCATTTAATTGCCATGGTTCAAGAACCCAAATCAGATCCACCAATTATATACACACAACACTAACGAAATTGAGGGGCTGTTTACCCAAACACTTTCCCGGTAAGCGCTAACCGGGTACGAGTTGTCACCCTCACTTATTAGGTCCTTGCCATCGCTCTTAGCGGGTAAGATTCTCGGTCCTTGCCATGTTCATCCGGTGAGATATGTGACTTGCTAAGTGCTTACCAGGTAAGCGTTTGGTAAACAACCCCTTAGTCAGAAAATTGCAAGAACTTGTTGCAACCCATAATAACCTTCTCCAGATATTCTTTCTAAAACAACTCCTATCAAAGATCTTGATTTCATAATTAAATTGTGAGGATGTAGTACCCTAAACAGAGGAATCAATACAAGTATAAGTTATTGCTGAAAAAGGAGAATATGCTCTTGAACTACCTTAGGATTGTTATGATTCACTTAAGATTATTATGCCCTTGCTTTTATTTTTATGCCTTTCATCAAGGGTTGGTGGTGGTTTTTGGTAATTGTGGCGATCTTCCTAGTATTTATAATGTATGTAAAAAAATTAGAAAGGAAAGATACATTGATGAAATCATATTCATTCTTTCTTTCTTTGTGGCTTAATTTTGACAGGGATGGGAAGTGCTATTAGAGGCTATGAAGAAAGCACGGCGATTGAACAATCACGTATTTTCAATGTTAAAGGCACGGTGCCCTCTTGAAGACAAGCAAGCATGTGCCATCAAGCAAAGTGGAGCCCCTCTTCATCGCATCAAATTTGAAAACACGGTATCTGCCTTTGAAACATTGCCACAAAAATGTTCCTAGAAGACATACAATCCAACCTCATAATGGTCTTGGATTTGGATGCTGCATCTATTTGTATTGTATATGTGGTTACTTATTTGGTAGAAGGATGTTGATATGCGTTTCTGCCTTTTTTTGGATTGGAGGTCAGGTCTGCATATCTTACCCCTCATATCCAATCTCAGAGTGGGAATATTGGGTTAGTTTAGTGTGGTCATTTTGATATATGTAGCGAGTGTTCAGCAGACTTGTGTTGTGATAGTTGTTGAAGATAGGTTTATTGAAGATGCAAACGACTTGAGTTTGGTCCAATGGTCAGATTTGTATTGTCTATTACCAGTGGCTGTTTCTTAATTAATGTGATTTATATAAGTCCAATAAACAATCTGAAGGTTGTTCTACAACAACTTGAGGTGTAGTTGTTGCACTCTAAGGTTCCTAGTACCATAATCCGTACATAGATGTGTGGCTCTTTTGCTCGATTTTAATTGGTCTCGTTCTTTGTTGACTTTACTCTATAGTTGGTCTTAGGGGCCGTTTACTAAACGCTTACCCATGTAAGTGCTACCAAGTTACATTACTGATGTTCCCAAAATCATACAAATCAGAGTTAATCTTCAAGAACAAGAACAAGATTGAGTAGAAAGAGAATTTCACCAAATATTGTATTGTATTTCTTGAGAGAAGGTACAAGATGATTTACAACTAATCTGGAAATTATGAATTGAACCAATGACAATTAAGAGAGCTAAAACTATTTATGCTAAGGAAATTCTAAAGACTAACTATTACAAAAGCATTACAATGAGAGAACTTGAATACAACATTTAAGCATAAACTTGAACCTAACAATCTCCCCCTTTGAATTCAAGGTCGAGACATTGTAAATCTGTTCTTTCTAAGTCCGAGCAGTATCTCTAGCATCTTTAGTGCATTCCGATACTGCAATTTATCATCAAGCAAATCCAAGGCATTAATCAACAAATACCTATCCTTTGGACTCATCCTCTCCGACTCCGTAGCTCTATCGTTATCAGCTCTTCTCGTTTCAAGCGCTCGTCTCACCATCCGTATAGTGCCATCAGAATATTTATTCAGCTCACTGAATCTCATGAACTTCTTTATTCGACCCTCGGCACTGTATACCACCTTGAACTCTGGTTCTTCAAAAATTATATACAACGGATAGCCTTCAATATCTTCTAGCTCTTGATCAGGTCTCTTCAAGTTAATGATTCTCTGACTGTCTTCAAGACCCATTTGGACATCAAGACCCATAGACACTTTGACATGACTTCGCATAAATCTTTTGATAGCACTAAGACCAACAAGTGCTCCTTCTCTTCTGACCGTCTTGTTCCGCAGTTCGTGGTACATATGCTCCAAGTCTTCTAAATATAGGTTAGAGAAATCAGCTTTGCTAAATACCCAGACCTTCCCATCTTGTCGAGTAACAGTGAACACCGGATACCACACTCTAAGAAGTCTTTGGGCATCAACTTGTTTGATTGAGACGACTCGATGTTTGGTCCGAACTTGGCTGATTGGGAGACGCTTTGCCTTGAGAAAGTGCTTGTACTCCATACGATAGTCTCGAGATTCTTTATGAATACCAAGAATCTTGTCAGCACTGAGAGCTTTGCGGTGCCCGAGGAAGATACCAAAGTAGATGTCCTCCAGATAAGTTTCCCTGATCCTTGCACGATCATAACCTGGAACATTGGCGCGAATTGCAAACGACACATAGTTCTTTGAAAATATTTCAGTCGGATCAAATGCCGCTCTCGGAGTTTCGAACGCACCAAGATGAACTACAATGGAGGGTTCAGGCAAAGTCTGATGATCACCCTGGAATGGGAAGACAAGATCTTCTTCATTAATATCTGCTTCAAAGTCAAAATACACTCCAGTTGATTCATCAATGTTGTCAATGTCTTCACCAAAATCCTGCTCTCCACCCAGTTCTCTAGCAAACGCTTCATTAAATCCAACATTGGCCGACAAATCCAGTAGCAGCTTTGTTCCTACAATGGAGTCCGTCGGCTTTTCAACCATTGGCTCGATCGCTGGGTTTGTCTCCGGAGCTGTCTCATCTTCCACAATTATTGGCTCAGTAGTCCTTTTCCCTTGTAGATTCAGAAACAGGACTTTCGACGTTAACTGCTTGAGAAGTTGACTCTCTTTCAACACTTTGAGCACGAGCAGATGACTCAGCCAGCCTCTGTCTCTTTCTCTCCCCCTCATGATGATCAGGATCGTCCAGATCATCATGTCTTCGTTTCAGTAAGGTGGCTTGAGCTCGGCACGTCTCTTCTAAGATAGATACCCGTTCAAAGAGGGCATCAATTGAACTTTTCAGGGCTTGAGTGTTATATGTAATTAACTTACTAACTTTTGAGAAGTTAGAAGCAACCACATCCTGAAAGGCCAAAAACTCTGAGGCTCTCCGATTGCTCTTGTACCGTCGGAGGCTCAGGTACAGGCGGTGGTGACGACACAGACGGTTGATCTTCTACTACTGGCTCCTTCCCTTTCATTATCCTTTTGAGACTTGAAATTTGTTCTTTCATATGATCTTGAACAGCCTTTAGGGCGCCGTCCAAATATTCCCTTGACACGAAGTCAGGTAAGATCACTCCTGGATCACTTAGATTACCAGCTGAGACAACAGTTGAATAAACTGTTGTGCCTACGTTCAGTGTTGGCAAAATGGTACCACTGGTAGGACTTCCGACCGGTCCTTGTGGTAGGTCAATTGACACCACTCTGGTCGTTCCAGCAGGTTCACTAAGAACCGCAATGGGAGCAACAGATGCTCTAGACTCTTGTGTACCTAAGTGTATAGGCTCTAAACTCGAGGTGCACTGAATCGAAGTCGTAGGCTGGGGCAGTGACCTACTTGTTTCAATATCTACATTCTTCGAATGAGAAGTAGATAGAGTATGTGCTATATCCCCGTGATGAATTGAAACAACTGGTTGTTGAGAACCAGTTGAGTGGCTAGGATGGGTGTGCAAATGCATAGATGGGCTAGCTATGTCTTCTTCAATACCAACATTCAACGGATGAATGTCGATAGCAGATGTGGGTGCCCCGGCTATCTGATTCGGCTGGGATAGGAGCTTGTTCTTCATTTTGTGCTCCACTCTCACACTCACCATCTTTTTCTCCGTCCCTTACACTCAACCTCTCAACATTTTCGACTTGAGCTCCCTCATCACCTTCTTCTACTGGAATATCTGAAAACATCTTCCAGCATACGATCATATTCTTCAAATCTGTCACCAAAGTCATCAACATTGAACAATAAAGATTGTAGACTTGGGCAAGTCTGTGGAGCTTCAAATTCTGGAAAAATATCGTCAATGTTCTCAATCACTGCTCCAAGTTGAATATTCTGAGAAAGCATCAGTTGAGCAGGATTGTCAGCATCATCATTATCATCATCATCATGATCATCACCCTGAGCTGCCTCGATATCGGAAATAGTATCTTCCGAACTTGAAGAAGTTATGGAAGTACTTTCTGTTGAAGTACTATGTTGATCAGAGGCTCCCCGCTCCTCATCACCCTTCTCATTTTCATTTTCTCTCTGCTCAGATGCCAGTTTAGGTAACCCTTGTTCCTGAACACTCTCACCTATAGCCATTCCCTCTCCCTCAGCTAAGGCATGAGGTGATCCTGGGGCAAGTTCAACTGATTCTGGTTGAAAATATAGGATCTATCCCTCTCATATAGTCTATTACGTACTGAGCCCTTTGATCAGCGAAGGCAAAAAGCTCGGGTGGAATTTCCATTATAGAGTCCAAATCTTCAACTTCGGTGTGTTGCCAAATACGCGTCATGACGAACGATGGCCCAACTTCACTGTTTGCCCTGACCCGAATGCCATCGTTGGAGTTCATCATGACTTTAATGAATAATTGAAGAAATCTTTGAAATGACACAAACTTCCTTGCTTTAGACGGAAACCGTTTAGCGTTGACGAGCTCGACTAGTTCGTTCCATATTATCAATGCATAATCGTACTTGCGCGTAAATACGATCACGTGAAAGAACTTCAAAAATGAACTGCTACAGGTATCGATTCTGGCAGTCTTTGATGTTAGGCATCGGTTGAGGATTGAGAAAAGTAGATGCCATATTGACGGAAGGAATCGCCGTTTGAACTGCGACGGATTAGTCAACTCTTGCGAGTATCCTAATCGTTTGATATTACGGCAGAGTTCGTCGTCTGTAACCAAGGATTCAAATCCTGTGGAGCCTGGTCCCGGAAGGTGTAGTATTCTTCGGAGTCGTTTTAGAGTCAAATGACTGACATGTTCGTCTACGCTTCTTTCGAAATAATAAGTTTCACCGTCTTTGGCAAGAATTAATGTGTTCCAAAATTGTTGGAGATAAATCATTGTGACTGGAGAATGGGCATAAAGGGCATGTGATATTGGATGTCCGCGAAGAATTTCTGGAATTATCTGGTATTCAGAGGGCATATCAAAGTTAAAAGAATGGTTATTGGGTTTAATTTCGAGAAATTGGCTTTGAGGTGGGATGATTTCTTCTGGGATTGGTTGGTTTAATGGCTGGGGTGTGTTATTAATGTTATCAGACCTGACTGAAGGAATATGGGATTCCTCGTCAGACTGATTATGTTGATCTGCCATTTATACCTGTAAAATTTCCAGAAAATTAGATCTTGAATAATGAAACAATGCTAATATCTCAAAATAAAAGTTAAAAAAATTTGAAAAGGAAATTGAAAAACTTAAAAAAAATTAAAGAAAATAACACTAATTTTTTTAAAGAAAATTCACTAAAAATTAATTAAACACTTAAAAAAAATCTAAACAAAAATTTACGTAAAAAAAATAATTCTAAAAAAAATTAATACTAAAAAAATATTCTAAAAAAAATTAAGACTAAAAACACAAAAAAAATCTTAAAAAAATATTTGAAACTAAAAAAAAATAAAAGAATTCCACCGGGATTTGATATCCGGATGAAAAAGAAACAAAAAAATACCAAGTCTAAACAAAATAATCCAGACAACTCAACCGGATTAAGGTTGATCGGAGTAAACTCCAGTCACCTTCTTCAGTGAACAATCCGGTCAACAACTAAAACCTTAAAAAAAATCTTAAATCGATCAAAAAACAAAACAAACCTAAAAAAATCTATTCTAAACACCGATTAACAAATCTTATTAGATCAAAAACAGATTTATTATATCCGATTTAATTATTCATATAGTTATCTGTTATGACCATTAAACCCAAAATCGACTTTTGACAAATTATTGTCTTATTAATGTTCGATTAAGATATAATCCAAATTTGTCTCAGTCCAAGAACATATCGAGTCCAAAAAAGATTAGGTTTAAACCTTTGATGAAGAATAGGGATGAAACAGGAATCGATTGAACAAACTTTGAAGAAC